CAACTCGGGTCGGAACACTAGACTCAACTATTATAAATTTGAGAGGATTTAAAATTCCGTTTCATTATACTTGCCGGACAAACTTTTGGGATTTGGGATTTGTCCATAGACAAACCTGGACAAATGGGATTGTCCGGTCAAGTCTAAAATCCCATGGTAAAACCGGACGAATCCCAATCCTAAATTCCAAATTACCAAATCCCAAACTCCATCCCAAATCCCATTCAAATATCATTTCCCAAAACCCATCTCATGTCCCAAATCTCAAATCCCATTATTGTTATTCTGGTAATGATATGTTAAGAGCTTATACGTACTATATATACATATCTTGCACGATATAACGATTCTACCTCATCTGCAATGTGATTTCACACAATTTGTACAAAATAAATATCATAATGTTCTAAAAAGTTATTTTTGATAACTTGCACGATGTTATATGATATAACTATAATTTTGCACGTAATATCAATATGTTAAATATCTTACACAAGGTACATCCTAGCATAAAATTTGGATTGAAATTTTAGATTCGAAAACTTGGGATTTTGGATGAGATTTGGGATGGGATTTTGGATTTGGGATGGAGTTTGGGATTTGGCAAGATTTTGGGATTATGACAGCCCAAATAGGGTTTGTCCGGTTTGGGATTTTTCCACATGGGATTTGGGTTTGGGTGGGATTTTAAGATTTGTAGTTTGTGCGGCATGTATACGTTTCATCTTATGTGTACTTAGAATCAATTTATGCTGATTCTAAATCTACAAAGATTCTATTTTAATATACATTTACATAAGTTACACATATCTTGATATTTCTAAATCACTTACAGCTATTATCAAATCATAATTTCTGAGACACCTGCTCATTACCCGAAATCTTTTTGGTCATCCAGTAAACTACCTAATCTCCAAAAACTACATCACTGCCTTCAGAATGAAGGTCCGAAGACAGCGATGTAGTTTCCGGAGAGTTAGGTAATTTACTGAACGACCAAAAAGATTTCGGGTAATGAGCAGGTGTCCCGGAAATTATGATAATAGCTGTAAACTCCCAGCCTTTATAGTGAAGCCCTTATTATGTATATCAATCATTACAAATATTTAGTCGGTCAATTTTTGCCAGATTTTCCAGAATCATAAAAGCAGCTGTAAAACATATAAAAAACTTTTTTTAGAAGCTTTCGAATTTTGACCCGGCCGGGTTATGAAAACCAATCAATTACTGTAATTTTGCATGACCTTATACCGGGTGTTTCAAAAGTTCCAAAACACGGTCCCTTTTTCTAAGTGACCTTATACATTGAGATCACGATGATTATTTACATTTTCATAAATGATCTCTATGTATAAAACACTTAAAAGAAAAGGGACTGTATTCTGGAACTTTTGAAACGCCCGGTATATATTTTTAATACCCTGACCTCTCACATGATAAGATACATCATTAGTTCGTATGTAATTAATAGGTCTTGGATAGCTTAGCTTGGCCATAGCCAAGCTATAACTAAGCCATGGTTTAAGCTGTTAGCTATAATTAAAGCCAGAATCAATAGTTATTTTTTTATAACTTTAAGCAATTTTTAAACTATAGCTTAAGCTATAGCTTAAACTATTGGCTTGGCTTAACCTCAGTTTGGCTTCAAACTGTGGCTAAAGCTGGCTTCAAGTGAAGCCAATGACATCCCTAGTAATTAAAGCCTTGATATAAAATGATATCAAATTAACTAATAATCAAATACCGTATCTTTCCTTCTTTTAAACATACCGATCTATAAAAATAAAATTAAAATTAAAAAAAAATAAAAATGAAACGTTCTTTTATTAAAGCTTCCGATTTTCATTCTACTTATGGTGATCCATCCAAAATTCAAAAAAAAAATTGAAAAACCAAATATACCCAAAAGGTGTATGGGCTAACTGTTATCAAACTCTATATGTCAAAATGATCTTCTAATGTAGACGAAAAATTCTTTTTTTCATCACTTATTGATTATTTTGGTATATGTACTATATTTTTTTCTTGGTTTTTTTTTTTCTGTTTTTTTTTTTCTTCTTATATTTAGTTAGACTTTTAAAATGATATTTGGTGCTCAACCCGTCATTTAGGTTATGACAAGTTATCCTAGTTTATGAAGGAAATTTGCACTATTACAGGTATCAATTGCACTGGTAGAAAAATTGTCAACCATTCCCTTACATACGTCCCAAAAACTAAATGATGCTGGTGTAGATGTCTATGAATATCACGAAGCATCATATAGTAGAGGCATATAATATGTACCACACACAGAATGAACAACAGCAGGTCAACATTGCAAAACTTGTAGTACTATCTGGTACACAAATGGTACAACATATTATATTTTATATTTATTTTATATTTATTACATGCTATTAATTTAAAAATATTTACTAAAATGATAATAATGAAACTGAAGAAAGCAATGAAGGTGACGGTAATGATAGAATTAACTGTGAAAATGAAAGTAACAATGAATCTGATGATGAAAATATCAATAAGAATGATAAAAGCAAAGAAGACCAAGCCAACTCACCTACCTGATCTCGATCCTCACTTACTGCTCAAGGATTTCAGTCTAAGGGTTTAAATTTTAACTTTACTAATTGTAAAAAGTTTCAATTTTTCTTATCGTTTAATTGGTTTTTTTTTTTAAGCTGTAAATGTAAAAAAAAAAAAATAAAATAACATTAATTAAAATATGCTGTAATAACTTCCCGGGTTGTTATTAAAGGGTAATATCCCGGCTATGCTTAAAAACTACTAAAATACCTCCCAGTTATTTATGTGTACATAATTAAAATTACATATACCGTAAATTTAGTCTGACCTCAAACGCCAACAAACAACTTGCAAATAAGTTTTATATAATAAAAAAGGTGACCTGTTTAAAGGCTTTTTGGCATTGTCCAACGTTCAAGTGCCCAAAAGCGTCCAAAGCACGTCTAAGCTTTAATAATAATAAATTTGTTTAATAAATCATATAATTAGGCCATGTAAAATTAATTGGTTTTCATAACTCGGCCGGGTCAAAATTTGAAACTTCTAAAAAAATTTTTTATAAGTTTTTATAACCGGGTGGATTTGAATTTTTTTTATATAAATTTACAACTATTTTCATTATTCCTGGAACACCTGATAAAAATTGACCGAATGATGTTACGGCCGATTCGATTATGTTTGTGATTTCGGCATGATCCGTATAATAAAAGCTATATTTATGTATCATGATCGTTTTAAAGATCATTATAACAATAATGTCAGCATTATTAAATTTTCGGTCGAATGCTTGTCGAACATGTTTGATATGTCTAATTTGCACGAAAATTTATGGAAAAGACAGCACTTATCAACCAATAAACCTTAGCAAAAAACATAAAAAAGGATCCGGATATAGACAATCCTATCTTTGGTAGCAAACAGGTATACTTGATTAATCATTATATGATAGCGACTATATAGAGATTATGAAAGGATAATAAATAAATGAGGTAATGAAAAAGAAAAATAATAAACAGATAAATATGTAACGTACGTAGGTATGAATTAATAACCGAACAGATTTTGGCTATCAATTTCGGACACCCTTATCAAGAACGTACCCACCCAAATAATAAAAAGTATTTTACAGCTGTTCTCAAAAATTCTGGGACAACTGATAAAATTTATTTCGGTCGAATTCGATAAGTTTTTGAACTCGGTGTTATCGGAATTGGATTTTCGGCATTACAGTAATTCGATAACACCGAATCCAAAAACTTATCGAATTCGGCTGATCAATTTTTATCAGTTGTCCCAGAATTTATGAGAACAGCTGTAAGAGTAGGTGCATTCTTGATAGGGTGTCCGAAATTGATGGCCAAAACCTGTAAAATAAATTGCTTTGCAATAATAATGTTTTAAACCATTTTTGGCATCTGAAAATATTTTAGGCAGCCGAAATTATTTAATGTAGCTGAAATTAATTTAGGCAGCCGATATTTTTTATGGTTTAGGCGCCTAAAATATTTTCGGCAATTTTTATTTACGGCAAGCCAAATAATTTAGGCACACATGTATAATCCCGCGCGGGATTTTTTAAAAAACAGCCGATTGCCCATCACTAATTCTAACTAATAATAACTAAAAAATAAAATCGAATTTAGTGTTTGTAGTCAACCCATATTTATCAACTTGACTAAGTTGATAAAATCGACTAATGTGAAATCGACTACAGACACTAATCGAATTCATGTATCTAAATAAATCGCATAGCGATAAAGATTCGTTTATGCATTCTCATCTGATCATATGTTACGTATCTATGACTTCGTCCCTGGTATCGATGTATAATCATCTTGCATAAACATTATCAGTTATATTACTGTAATTTGCGCAATTAATGCCATTGATTTATATTTTATTATTTTTGTGTAACTGTCCTAAATTTTGGAGGCAACTATACGTACGTACGTAGGTGAAATGACTGTAGGAAGATTGGAAAGTTTCCAATTCAGATCGATGATCTTTGTGAGCAAAATCCAACAACGTATCTGCCAAATGACTAAAAAGCTACCTGAAAAAGTATAAACTATAATATTGCAACGATCAATTTGGATATGTGGACATTATCCAAGTATGCAAGATTTTGTACACAGCTTGCACTGCGTTCCTGGTAAATTCCTTTTTGAAATGGAGATCTTAATTTTGTTTTCTTTAAAATTTCTAAAAACTAATCGTTTTTTCCGATTACATTACAAATGTACAAATGTTTTTTTATATAAGATAATAAAATATTTATTATTTCAGTTTTCAGTATTAAAATTTTAAATGTAAGTTTTTATTAAATTATAAAAAATAACCTCGTAAATCATAAAGACCAAATCAAAATATTACGTGAACTACAATAAGTTAGAGCTGGACATTTATATACTATGATAAAAATATATATCGATATTAAAAAATAAAATCAATAATAATTCTTGCTACTTCTGCGATTAATCATTTTTGTGACACTTATTCGAAGAATAAATTTCGTTGAAAAAGATTCTGTCATCATATTTTTTCATTCCATATTTATATTTTTTTCTATCAATTAAAATCATAGGCTTGATTCCGTTTAGGATTAATTCAATATTTGTGACCCAAAATGGATATAATTGTAAGTGAATTATACGGAAACTCCTTTTAGATTTCTTTGTACTATTAGACAAGGTATTTTTTTTTTCGTATTTAACCCTGCCTATAATCATATGATAAATAATTAAAAATGAATTTAAAAATAAAATAATATATCGAAATGGTATAAACAATTCCTTTAACCAATAAGAAAAAGGATCATTTTCACGTTCGATGGCTTTACGTTCTCTGATTTTTCTACTTATAAAATCTTTATCACTCTCGTCTTCACGTTGGTCGTTTTTGATTTCATTCTTGTTAACATTATTTCCATTTACTGAATTTCCATTATTCTCGTTAGCATTATTATTATTTACTGACTTTCCATTATGCTCGTTAGCATTATTACTATTTACTGACTTTCCATTATTCTCGTTAGCACTATTACTATTTACTGAAATTTTGATTTTATCATCATCCTCTTCATAATAATCAAACACTTTAACATACATTCTATTTTCTAAACTTTCAAGTAAATCATATGATTTTGAAAGAAAAATTAAACCAAACCAGATTCCTCCTAAATACATCAAAGAAAGACTTAGCGCTTGTTCTGTATCCTTAGATAGATAAGTTTGATTGGTATCTTGAAAAACCAACGACAAAAAAATTGATATTGCGAGGATGAAGAAAAAGAACAAAACAGAAACTGACGAATCGAAAATTCTTTCTCTAGTCAAAATATCGTTTCTTCGTTTCAATTGAATTATATAAAAATCAAGCGCAGTAAACATATTAAATTTGCTTTCTTTATCTTTTGTATAAAGAGGTAATTTCATTTGATCTATATCAATATTATTTTCATCATCTTTCTTTTCACCACTTTCCGATTGATCAACATTCGTTTCACCACTTTCCGATTGATCAACATTCGTTTCACCACCTTTCGATTGAATAACATTCGTTTTATCACCTTTCGATACTTCAACTTTTTTCAAATCATTAACAAACTCCTTAATAACTTTATCATCAATATGTAAATACATGAGTTTGAACGTATTCTCATCGAGTTCAGTTGAACTACTTGATTCAAGATATTTCTGCGCAGTATTGTTAAGATATGCAGTAACAATAGTTACTAGTAAACCAATTCCACCAAATAATGAAGATAATTGAGTTCCAACTTTCGCCATTATATCGGAATGTTCAGCAAATCCGAATAATTGACCAAGACAAATAGAAATTAATGATATAAAAATCTCTGCAGCGTAAACATTTTGACGATACCTCAAATTTTTTTGATATAATTTATATTCTTCGTTTAATTTCACAATATAGAATTTAATTAATTGATGTATAAGGTTTTCTTCTTCATTAACCTTTTTATTTTCTTTAGATGATTGATTTGGATCTACAATATAATATCTAACGCCTTGATTTTGTTCAGATGAACCCATCTTGTTAAAGTAATGTTCAATTCTTTTTTTTTTTCTAATCTTTTATAAATGTCATTGAATACATGTTTATGTTGTGTAATATAACATAAAAAATCCGCTAAGAAAAAGGAAAATCATCTAGGAATCATAATTATGACAAAATTATGACAAAGTATGCAGCATATTAAATAATTACTAAAATTATCGACTTAATGCAATATACGCACGCTGCAAAAATCTAAAAACCACAATTAACCACAATTATACCTTATAAAGACAAAATACAAACATTAACAATAGTGTGTATGTAACTACTTTTATTGAAGTCGATAATTTAATAATGTGTTACTTGGCTGTCTGCTGGGCGTAATCTGTAACCAACAATCAAGTTACACATTATAATTAAATCGACTTCAATTATAAGTATTTAATAATTATATATTGTTTCTATACGGTTTAATTATGGTTTTTAGATTTCTTGCACCGTACGTACGTACATACTCTTTATAGATACAGTATCCCTGAAAAAATATACATGCATGTATTGTATGTGGAGTTTATTACACGAAAATACGCACCTTCCTAAATGGTGGTTGATCAATTGGCCAATTATCGAATTTGTTTTTAAGGTTCAGTGTGTGTATGCTTTTAAGTAATATTACATTATTTCTATCCAAATTAAAGAGGTTAATTGTATTACTTGTTTATGTACATTTAGGGAGTTTGAGGGCTTTAGATTTCATGCACTGATGCTGAACATTACAGCTGTATTCAAAATTTGTGAACATGTGAGAAATCGAAAAATTTGGAAATTAAAAATTTCGATTAGAGCGAGTCTTGAAACCCAGAAATCTGGAGATATTCACATTTTTTTTGAATCACTATTTAAGAAACTTCCTATATTATCAACCTTTATAAGATGCAACAAAAAATATAGAAGCCTAATTTGCTACAGTCCCTACAATAAATTACCAGAATGATCTATTTTAATAACGAAGACGACCGCATAATATAAGGGGTTGGTTGTCCTACAAATTCACCTTATTATAGGAATTTTATTGAGATAGACACAAAATTATTTTTGACAAAATGTACCAGATATAGACAATTATAAGAATTAAAGTTATAATTAGTTAAAGTAAACTGAAAATTAAATTCGTAAAAGTAAACAAAAATTTTGCATCAAGTATTGTATCTTTTGTACGTCGTACAGTCGGCTCCAAAAGATTATCACGGTTACACAACAATCCATTATTTATACAAAATCGTATTCAGTACCCTTTTTTTTTGATGATTTGTTTTATCATTTGATATTATGATTCGAGTTATCGATATTTATTTAATATCGATAAAATACTGTATGATCATTAAGTATTAACATTATAGTATTAATTTGCTAATCTGAGAAATGTATTAATATCATTAATTGCATAAATTTTTGTTATGATTTTTTTATTATATTTTTTTCGTGTAACCGTGATAAACTTTTGGAGCCGACTGTACTTACGTCATGCGTGTTATTTTTATATCTGATTAAATTTGGATCACTAAACTTCAAAATGAAAAAGCGAATCGTTTGATTTTACAACTGAACCAGATTTAAAGTTGAATTATGTCAGCTTTAATGATACCATTTTGGGTGTTGACAAAGGTATACCTCGCACAAGATAAGCTAATACACATTCATTTTAAACATATATTTAAATTTTATCGAGCGAGATATCACTTATAGAATTGCGGGTGAGTGCACCTTTAAATATAGAGAATTCTATGTCAAACGTTGAGTATTCATACTCCTTTCTCTAATTTATGTAATACTCATTTTCTTACGCAGTGCATTTTTACATTTAAAAATAATACTATGCTCACAACAGGACTTCGCCTCAAAGACTTAATTATTATTATTTCTGGATTACCATCGTTAGTCATGTTTTAGATAATGATCTTGCGGAACGTGCCTGTAAGTTCTCTGTATGTAACTATATACCTTGAATTATTAATTTTTTTATTATAACGTAATGTTAGTTATGGCTTTAAAAATATATATAGTATATATAGAACAAAATAAATAAAACAAATCAATAAAATGGACAAAGATTCAAAAAATCCAAAATTTTCATTATTGATGAACTTTTTAAAATCACTCTATTTTCTTATTAGCATTGGCTTATGAAATCGAAGGCTTTCAGCTACTCGTGTAAAATGCTCAGTCAGCATAATTTCATTAATCGCAAGAACATATTGACATTTTAAAGATTCTTTATCAGCACTTTTTGGGAGATATTCTGTTGCAATATCTGCCATTTTTTGTAATGATTGTCCATAATAACTGTAACCAGAAGATCCAGTAAACATGATTGTATAAAGATACAAATATGTCCTATTATGTTATAACCGTTCTAAATTAGTATTATATATTTGTATAGTTAACGATTATGGGAATGTTATATTCACCCTCTATCTTTTTCTCTTTGGCAAAGGCTTCTTAGCTCTGGTTCCGGAGGATGATACTCACCGTCTGATAGAAAAATAATTACATTGGTTCTATTCAAGAAGTAATTAAAAATTATTAAGTAACTGATTTGTATTTAAATAAACAATTTGTTACAAAAATTTACCTTGAAGGATCATAATAAGTTTCAA